GCCTGCGGTGAAAAAGACATCGTCTTGGTTGAAGCCCCAAAAGATTGCGCGGCCGCCCGTCGGATTGGCCACTACCTCATCTGACTTGACTCCGAATTCCCCTGATGTGGCAGCTGTCAGGATCCGATCATTTTCCCGAAGGTCTTCTATCGGCAATTCTCCCAGAGACGTCCAGACCATAGTGCCTTCGATGAAACAACCTGCACCGGAGTAGTTTGTTCCTTCTGGTCTGGGGCCCAAAACACCTCCTTTCAACAGCATCACTCTGGCATCGTCTGGCAAAAGAGGTCGCTGCGGCGGAGAATCCCATGAAAAGAATTCGCCGCCTGAAACGTCGGTATTGCCCTCCACGTAGAGCAGACGATCGTTTTTTTGGAGTGAAAAGTATTGGGTTCCAGTCTCGCTACTAAGCCGTGTGACGTCTTCAACGATGTCTGTTCCATACTCTCGAATCTCAAACGTCACCGGATACTTGATATTTCTACCTCGGACGCTAAATGCAGATGTAGAAGATGCGTACTTTTCCAAGGCTGTAGACAACGTAGACTTCAAGCTGTTTTCAACGTAACTGTTCCAGCGTTGTGTCAAACCGCGCATGAAGTTCTGGCTCGCTTCACCAAGTGTCAAATCCAGGTCAAGTGGTCGCCCGATGTCAAGAGACCAGGCTGGTAAGCGTACGAGCAAGAATGTCGCTGTGGAGAGCGTGGTAACATCGAACTCATGCGGAGGCAGATAGAGACCGGTTAAAGGAGCTGTGTCGAGTATGGTCTTCAAGAAGGCGCTCTTATCCTTGAGGAGGCTCAAATCTTTTTGACCGTTTCGATCAGCAGACGCCAGGTTACGAAGGATCGTAGAGTAAGTCGCGCCCTCAGATGCAGCAGTCGTCGCATCTAGCCATGTTTGGAGCGTAGAAAGGCGATTTCGGGCATCATCTACTTTCGGGAATGTGTTGCCATTGAACCGTCCTGGCTGCTGGTGTGCCGCTGGACTCTGGCCTTTTCGGCGAAGGTAACTATAGACAAAGAGTGCATTCATCCATGAGTTGGTAGACGACGCTGTTTTGTTCTGATCTTGGAAGAACTGTTCGTTCTGAACGAATGCTAGAGATGATTCAGCAATGTTTTCAAGCACGCAGGAACTGCCGTGTTCTTACTCTCAGAGAGTATGGTTTGACTGAACTCATCTAGAAAGTCGTCGTCATCAATGTACGAATGAATAGAAGTCAACGGCACGGGTTTGTCGCCCAGTGGGTCTGGTTTAGTTTGCTGTATAATCTCATTGTGCTTCTTGATAGCTTCGTCGACATGTACTCGAAGTAACAGTGGAAGTAGGGTGCTCAGCGAGTCCTGAATGGCATCCTGACATCGATCCTATTGTTTGTGTATTAGTCTCTGATGTCAGTTGCGTAAGGTTTGCAGTGTACTCACTTTGTTCGTCCCTTTACGAAAACCATAAGGCTCGCCCTGGTCGTTGAATTGGAAGAGCGATTTACCAACAGAGGCCAGCGCAAGCAGCGACATATTTTGGTCTTGCGCAGAGTCGTCGCGGATGGCATTGACGAAACCATCGTACTTTATCGGCTTCGGCCCGCCGTTGTCGATGTGCTTCTTCAAAGATGCGAATGATCCCAGGTCTGGAAAGGCGCTGCTGATAGTCTCGACCCATCTGTCCGCATCGAGGACACTTGCGCTTCCCAGCACCGAGATGAGGGTTTTGATCTGAGCAGTGTTGGAAGCCATGCTGTTGTGATTGGCTACAGTGGCGTGCCAAGTAGGGTCCGCGCAGCAGCTGCAAATGATTCAACTTCTGAAATGTGAGGAGATGCGAACATGAATTTATACCTCTCATGAGGGAAGAACGCAAGCGAACGGCGGCAGGCGTGCTCGGACAAGGCGTTGCGTCGAGTATGTGGCTTGCGTAAGTTATGAGCCGTCTTTGCTGGCGTTCACAACTCGACATTAGCATGGGATTTTAGGTCCTGGTTGCATGTTGCTCGCTTGCAGTAGAACGCGCCTTGTCTCGGACTTCAGCCGTACTCTACAGCATAACCTCATTCAACGACTATCAGCCACAGACGCTATTGAATAGATAACCACGTGACGTTGTCTCAGAGGGCCGTAGGGACCTCCTCCATATGCGAGCATCCATGTGTCTTGCTTGCTGTCAGTTCTGCACGAGCCATGGATACTCCAGGGGCTTGTAACTTACTGGTTTGTGGCAGCTGCCAAAGAGGCCTCGAACTTCGATAATCCTTTTCGTACGTAGCTTTGAAAATCGGTAACACCGGCGGCGCCAACTTCTAAGCAAGACACGACAAACACTCCCGCCAATCACAGCCGCAAGGCCCGTCCCGTAGCTCCTCCTGGAGACAACTGCGAGCTGCATCAGGAGGGGCTTGCAGGCCAGATTACCGTTCTGGGCTCGAAGCCAGGGGCAGATGCTTCATTGAGCCGCGTCACCGATCGACTCCTGGCCAGACTTGATAATATGCATTGGGTGACAGGGTGGGCTTCTACCACCAAGGCTCGGCCTAATGGCCAGCCCCGCAGTTCGACAAGTTTTACTTCTTCCAGCAATTTGCACCTAGGTCGAGATGTAGTGATGTAGAGGAAGCTATACATTTTTGAAGATGGTGGGTGGTGGCGCTCGGTAACGTCTACGACAGCGTGCACGAGCTCGTCGAAATCCCTGCACGTCGTCGGAGTGTTGTCGGAGTCACCGGAAATAAAAGCTGATGTATCGCAACGTAGTAATCCGTTTTGGTTGGCGTTGTGATAGAGTAGTGGCAAGTTTGTGGAGGTCCGAAGAAGGGATGTTGTGTTGTTGGTAACGACATTTGGGACGCTACTTTGTAATGACCCCGCCCCAATCACACGCTAAGCTGGAAGAGGAGGACCGCCTAGAACTAAGAGGAGTTACCTTGAACAACTTCACAGAACTAAATTCTATTTCAATCAAAGTGCCCTTTTCTCTCTTTGCCAACTTGACTCCAGAGCTTTGGCGAGAGTCTCAGCCTCTCTGCTGGTCTGGGAGTTGCGCGCCCGGGTCGTGAGATGGTTATGGGTTCTTGGTGTTGACGGGGAATGGTTCAGTGGGGATCTCAAAACCTTCTGCGCCCGGTACCCAACCCAAGTATTCTACATAGAATACCTTCGAATCAACGGGGTAGCTAATCAATTCATGATACACGCCATCACACAGCTTTCTCAGCAGCGCTAAGAAGAGACGATTAATAGTGTATGTTTCATCTAGATACAGTAATTTTCAATTTGAGTTCCTTGCAAATATTGGGCGCTTTAAAATGCTGCTTCGTTATTGCATCTCTTGGTTTTATCACATCAAAAATCCTGCTGCACGGCTCTCGAGAAGATATTGCTAGACGTACTCCCCTCAACGCGGCAGGTAGTAGGCGCAAAGGCTGAGGCGAACGTCATACCACTAGACCATAGGACTTTGATTGGTTTAAGTTTACAAGTGTCCCCAAACTTATAAACAGGCGTCCGTCAGAAAGCCTGCACGTCCCGTTCTCGAAGACGGCCAGAAGTGTCATGGCCAAGATAGATGGCAAGACGAACGATATCGAGAACAATAGCCACGATTCGAAATACTCGACCTAACGGCGTTAGTTGGAATGTGGCTTACCAGACCTCGTCGTGCGAGAGTGCACTCTTGCTCTATCGACACTACTGTAGGGAGTGCCCTAGGCAGCATGTCTCTGATTAGTCAAAGGGTAGTATAATATTCATCGGGTCGATCTTTACATCGTATCCGGAGTTTCTAGAGTCTGTCGGGATGCTCCAAGCAGTTGCAGGGAGTGCCCAAACTCTCACTATTGTATCTTTCCAGCGGAGTCTATGGCGTATCCGAGATCTAATTCGGTCCATTCTATGTATCATAATCTCAAGTTACGTGCCACTGAAATCAGGTGTTGATGGCAATAGTTTTTCAAGTTGTCTGACGCGGGAATTGTGCTGAAGTCTCAAAACGAGCGGAGTGGTACGGACAGCGTGAATGATATTAGCTCGCAGGGAAGCCTATTCATGACGTGTGGAGTTTCACATCACGTTGTGATATTTTCAATGAGCTGGAGCGCCTCAGACGGCGGCATTCCGTCATCGACAGAGGCGAGTAAGAGGCTTGAATGGAGTTGTATCCAATTTTGAGCCATGGGCCCAAACATGATGGCCATTAAGCGCTTCATGAATGGATTAAAATAAAACAGAGAGTGAAAAAATGAGGTAACCAAAGCTACTATCATCCATTCACAAAAACCTTTTCTTAGCATGATATTCTCAAAACGAGTTTAGTTGGCTCTACGTCGTTGATACTCTAAACGTCCAACCAATTGATACTTCGAACAATAAGAGTTGCAGTGACATACTTAAGCAACACGATACCTTTACGCTTTCTTTACACTTGTCTAGTACCGCTTGAGGTCCCCTAGTACGTTGTGAAGGTTCGGAAAAGGACAACGTCGACAAGGCTGAGGGCCTTGCGGGCCACCTCAAACGGTGTCAGACTGCTGCTACTCTGGAAGCGATGCAAACCGGCTTAATGGATGTGTGCATATGAACGGATGATGGGATGCTGGTAGCAACCAGGAGTTTTGATTTTCAAGGATGCTCGGGAGTGGGGAACACCAACCAGCTAAAGCTGAAATATTCGAACGATAGAGCATTTTTGTCTGAAGCTTCGTCTCGGCGCATATCCACACTAACACACGTTCTCTTCCGTTCGAGAGTTCGAGCATTCTGCGAATGTCTGTGGGAATCGAGCGCGGATAAGGAAATAGTCTTATTCCTGGCAGTGCACGGCCTTGAACTGATTTACTTGCTCACGCAGTAGTACCTTTCTACGGCCTGTTGACGTTACAAAAGGTAGTCTGTTCACCATTTCAGAAACGGAATGGGCACAGGAAATCTTATTGGTTGAAATCTCAAAACTTTCTCCGCTTTTTCAACATACTGGTCTATATACGCTCTAATTTTCACACCAATCAAAGTCCTATGGTCTAGTGGTATGACGTTCGCCTCACATTCCGACGTGCTACAAGTGCGAAGGTCCGCGAAAGGTCCTGGGTTCGATCCCCAGTGGGACTACAATTTTGCTGCGTCACGTAGAGACGCTGCGAACTTTTTGCGCTTCTTGAGTTACTTCATCATAATATGGCTAGTGTATCACCTCTATACGTGCAAACTATATGGCTAGATAGGTCGATAGTGGATCTATTTTTGCTGTATGTATCAAGGCTGAATGCCTTTTACAACCTCCTGCAAAATTGAAGTGAACTGTAACGGAGGACCTAGTTTCGAGATGCAGGCCCATGCAAAAATTAGGTCCGGGAAACGTGAATATCTTCTTGAAAGCGACGGCATGTCATGATAGCATGAGTTGCATTTCTTTGCTGCTGTTGGGAGGCCTCTAGAAGACCGACGGACTTTCAACCTTGCAGTGACACGGAGCCTCTAGAGGACTGCATAGTCAAGCCTCTACTATATTCTATTCTATCGAGCAGCACATACAACAAACATCGTGACCGAACACTAGGATCACCAGTGGTCAGAAGAGCTCTCGGGTCGCAGTCGGCAATGGTGTCGGTAGGACCCGGACAGCTCAGCCCTGCCCAACCAGGTGACAGCCCCTTTCTCACCCCACCGTCACCCAACCGTCGAATCTCCACCCCGCATTATGATGACAGATCACTCGATCACATCCCCGGCAATATCAACTCTCTTACGCGGAAGCTGATTGAAGTCCAATAGAACACCTTCAATATCGTGAAAGGATACACAGATCAACGTGCACGACTTCGGCGCCAGCTCATAGGCTAAGAACATAGGACAAAACACGAAAACGTTACGGATACAGCCCTGTCCTGTCCAATAGCCTGCGAGGCTCTCGGGAGCGGGTATGTACGCCACTCCTTGCGGGGCGCTGGGCAACGGGTGGTGCCATGGTGTGCAGATGGTCCATCACCTGCTCGGCCGCGGATCTGCATCGGCTAGCACGAGCATACCACCTACCAGCCTGCTGTCTCGCGGTATTTCATATAGTAGACAGCGCACCAAGCAGTCGTGTATACGTCCCGCTTTACCACTCATACATCAAGCTTTATAGTTGACCCTCTCACATCTTCCGCTTGAAAAACTCACTTTTGAAGTTCTTGCCATCACTTTCAAGTGCTTCACAACCTTTCTCATCCCCTGCACCGAGGCCTCGGATATCGAAAGATCTGAACAACACGTTTTCCATCGCAACGAGACTCCCTTTTTTGAATCACCCATTTCAATCAGTAGTCATGCCACTTACACCTCCTCCCCAATTCCGCCGACCCATTTCCACTGCCGCCCGCGTTTATCCTGCGCCGCCGCAGTTCCATACCTCCTATAATCCCGCCTCGCATATCCCCACCCACACCCCTACATCCGCACCTAAAGTGCCCAAAGTTGGGAAGATAGGCCGATGGTAAGTACTTGACATTCCATTGATTCGATTCCCTTCTTTCTTTTCTCCTTTTAGTCACTATCCAAGCTCTATTTACTAAACCTCCATACAGGTATCTGCCGGCCTGTGCCCTAGTTGCCGCCGGTTGGCTCTCCAGCCCCATTTCACCCCTCCGAGGGTCTCCCTCAACATCTGACGCAGGAGCAGGCTTCGCCGTTGCGAACGCACTCGAGGAGCACAACCACGGACACCTGCCGCCGGCCGCGCGGCGGGACAAGCAGCAGGAACGGAACCAGCACCTCATGGACTCGTATGGGGATCGCATGAGTCTGGCTGACTTGGAGAAGGCGCTGGAGGTGTATGAGTTGCAATAGTGTGGTGCGAAGAAGGGTGTTGAAATACTTTCAAGAGGAGGATTAGTGGTTATGCTGCTGGTTGTGCCTTGATGCGATTTCTCGAAAACGGCTTTTACCGACCGCGATGGTCCGCTTTGAGTAGGACGGTGTTGTTACCCCTACACGAGAATTGGAGGGTCTTTTGGTGCTGCATATAGGAGTTTGGAACCCACGGGTCGAAAACGGAAGGACTGGCGTTTGGGAGTTATAAGTTCTTTTTGCATGGAAGGAGAAGAGGCTGCTATATTTGCATTCTACTCGTGCGGATGGATTTCATCTCGCAACGGGTGCAAGAATTGCATTTGGCATGGGAGTGGTAAGGCTTGAGCATTGAACATGAAACCTATGCATGCAGGTTGAAGGCTTAACGGCCTAGCATTGCTATCGCTTAGTACCAGTATATTCAAAGAAGCCAAAAAGGTATTCCGTTATTCCGGTTCTGCGAAGTTGTCCGCTCAGCATCGTCTCAAGTATCCTAAACTACAGCCTGGCACTTCTGCAAGGTGACCAACAACGTATTTCCTTGTTGCCCTTGATACACATACTAATCTATCCTCATAATCCTTGATCCTTCTGTCGATAGTATCATATCATGTTTCCCGCAAGTACCTCTCAAACACACTTCTGTACCGTGACTAATAGCGTACTTCCTTATTTTTATTAATATGCATGCTTTCTTGTTGCTGTTGGTATGCATACTAGTTTATCTTCATATTCCTTGATCCTTCTATCGATATCATCATATCATGGTTCCCGGAAGCACACTCCCATATAGGATATGCCGTCGGCACCGTCCACTGCAGCTACAAGCGCTAAGCAACGCAACTAGCATCCAAGCCTGGTACCGACCTCTGTTAGATGTTTTCCTTCTCGCCTCACTTCAGTGTCTCCTTATCCCCGGTACATCAAGATTTCTGGCACATCATCGTATGCCGCAGTTCTCACTGTCGTTATAGGCCCCATCCATACGCGTGAATCCTCCCCATCTCCCCTCCCGTGAAGAGTACACACAACACCAAGTCTCCGGCTCGGAACTCGCTTCCACTCCAACCTCCAACCCACCAAACATCTCCTCCGCGAACCCTCCCCCCATTTTTACCCACCCTGGCCTCCACCTTCCAACTCTACCCCCTAGTCCACCTCTTCCGTGATCTCCCCTATCCCGCCCCACCCATCCCGCACTAGCCTCCACCCCCCCGCCCCCCCTCCAATGTCTCGCGATACTCGCTTCCCACGCCCGAAGGTACCCGCTGCTCCCGCTCGCTAGACCCCGGATTCGGGAATCCCGGACTGAGGTCCCGTACAACCGGCCGAGATGGGGCGAAGATAGGGTTCGGAGATCTGAGGGCATGAACTGATGATTAGAGTCCACCCCTTCCAGAAGCTTGGAAGTCCGTCGCGGGCGTGGAAAAGTCCGTCGCGCGTCGAGCTACCGTATGAGGCGGGCCGTGAAGATCGCGGCATAATGCGCGGTGGCGTGGATGACTTTTGTTTTTTGGTTCTTGTGGCTGGATTGGGGAGCCTTGGCGGGGACGACACGGGTGTGGAGGGGGGGTGTGAGATGGGCGATGGAAGCGTGAGGAGAAGGGAAACTGGGTTGAATAACGCGATGAGAGCACGTTCATACGTTAGGAGAGAGGAAGCATTAAATATGTAGTGAGTGAAGTATGGTAAATTGACTAAACCAAACTACTGATATGATAAAGCGCGAGCTCAGAGGTACGTGTCTTAGGCTGTGTTGATATCAGACCAAAGAGAAGTACCCTTTCCCCCCAAAACACCCGCTCGCACACAATAAATGTTACATAAGTAAACCATACACTGCTACTAACCAAAAAACAACCGCTTTTCAACGCGTCAACAATCTCTCGGTCCATCGAACCGATCGGCGTGCAACGCTCCAGACAGAAATAAATGACTGAAGTTTCCAAGAAAACAAAAACACACATCCTACAAACATAACCCTGCTAGACACCCAGATGTTGAATCCAGATCATCGCGCCTCTTGACCACGATCTCCGCCCAATCTAACCTCCCCAGTTTTTCTACAGTCGTAAACAACGCGTCGTACGGCTCCTCGACCTGTCCACAGCTCCTCACTAGCCCTCACGCCGACCAGCCGAGGCCATTGGTCGGTATGCCGCGCTGGATGCTGAGCGCCAGGCCCTTCTGGTCGAGCCCGATGGCCGTCGCCTTCTTCTTGGCCCACCAGCCCTCGAACTGCTCCAGGGTATCCTCGTCAAGCTCGACCAGCCGCTTGCTCTCGTTCAGCTCCCTGTCGACCACGCGGATCGCATGGCGCAGGTGCGGCAGCGACTCGGTGCGCAGGTGGGAGAGCTCGAGCGTGTAGTACGCCATGTCCGGCTCCATTGGGGTGGTGTAGGAGCGTTCGTGATGGCGGCCGTGATGCTGGCCGTGATGCTTTGAAATAGACTTCTCGAAGGTGAAGGGTGATGACAGAGAAAAAGGTGAGACTGGCATTGAGAAAAGGCAAGGCGTGGACAGGGGGGTAGAAACTATTGAGGATGCGAGAGAGCTCGTTGCTGAGGCCTCGGAGTCGTTGGAGGAGATGGTGATGGTGCTGAGACCGCGGGGCTTAATGGTGCCGGGAACGGGGACGAAGTCGTCTTCAGCGTTCTCGCTAGGAGAGAGGGCCTCTCCAAGACCTTCGAGCCTTTCAAAGCCGGTGAAGACGGCTGCACCAGCGTGTTGTACTGCCGCGATGCTGGCGGTAAGTCGAGTGGGCAAGCGAGCCCAGAGGCTTTCAGGCATGTACCAGACTGATAGATGGACTGGATTATAACTGAAGGCATCGCCGTTTCGGGGGCAAGCTGTCCTTAGGGCCTCGACCATAGGGACTTGTGGGATAGTAGAGTTGAATGACAGGCAGCGAATGGGCTTTCGTCCACGCTTTTCTGGAGCCCTGAATCCTTCCGGGGAGGCGTATACCAAGTCTTTGCCCTTGAGAAGGCCTTTGCCTTGGAGAAGGGGCACGGCGGGCATGGCGTCTCTGGTGGCTGCGTTTGGCAATGGCTCGAGGTCGGAGAATATACTTGAACAAAGATAGAGCAATCTAAGACGTAAATAGTCGGCCTGATGACAATCAGGTAGCGAGTTGAGGAGTGGGAGAAGCGGAGTCAGAAGCACACTCGAGTATGCAGAAAGAGGTGTAAGTAAAGTTGTTGCTAGATAGTAGCTCCCTGGACAGTCAATACTGGAGTCTGGAAATCTGGGGATCAGAGCTGCAGCTTAAGAATGTC